CAATTGCGTGGTCATCATCATAAATGATGTCATCATCAGAAACAGTAATTTCCAGAATATTCTGGGAAAAGAAATGAAAAACGTCCAATTTGTTAGCAAGTACTCAAGAAGTATGACATTCTGCAGCTCTTCCAGGTTCAGTGCCTGCTTTACAGAAAGGAAATAGAAAAGTATTGATGACAAAGTGTCACAAGGAAGAGTAAAATAATGAGTGTAATCTCCTTGATAAGAAAAAGCTTCTAGTCTCAACAATTAAGGCTGAACTGAGATTTCTCTTGGGTCACCTTTTATGCTTTTAAGTAATTCTCACCAAAAATCTAATTTTTCAGGAAGGAATATGGATAGCCAGAAGTCCTATATTGCACCTTATCAAAAGGGGCAATAGAGGCCACTTCATACCGATAACCGCCTTTCTATGTCCTTGGATTTTCCACTTTCAGCCACCTGTTCATGGATATTTGAGCATAGCGTAATTATCAGCAGCAAACTGAGTAAAGATCTTAATCACACTAGAATTTAGCAGCTTCCTGGCATTAATATGCCATTATTTCATGTTCTCTCAGGGGAAGATGTGTTTCTCTGTTATAGTGTTGCTTTGTATTTTCATTTCACAGTTTCTCTGTGTTGTCACTCTGTCATTGGTCACATTAGCCTTCTCCAAGGAGGTCAGGTTCACATTACTAACATGTAAACAATAACTATCTGTTAGGAAAGAAGCGGATTCCAGCAAAACCAAAAATTATTTTGCTTCAGCTTGCTAGGGAAATTTTAAATAAACTCAGAAAAGCACTAGAAGACACAACATCCTCTTTTGGGCTAAACCAAAAGAAGCTGCATAGAGACGAGATGAAGAAGAGAGTTTTTGGTTTGTGTACCTTGACTTGTCTCTGTATCCGGAAGTAGAAAGTTTCATTCCACACGGGATTTCTGCAGTTTTTGATGGTTTTGGTGTGGAATTTTTCATCTGAAGCAGTTGGCAACCAGAGGCTCACATAGCAATCAGATTGGCTTACTGTAGAAACAGAGGCACAAAATCTCTGGCAGTGGAAACACAACACAAGAAGTGGAGGCATTGAAATGCTCTGTAGCTTGAACATGGATGAGAGACAGACAGTTCTTTCTGATGTACTTTGGCCAAACCAGGAAGATAGAAATCACACAGCTGGATAAAATTTATTTGTTGTACATCACAACACTATTTTTAATAAGCATAAGCAGTGTGCACTCAAATAACTATGCACAATCCCACACATTTAAAAAACCCCATAGTCCTAGCCAGGGGATAGAACGATATGAATAGTCACGAGGCTTGTATTGACTCTTATCAACGTTGTTTCAGCTCTCTGCAAATTTGGCAGGAGGAGAAACTGCGACCAATGCAGCAGAGAGTGAGCCTCAGACCCTCAAAGAGATTGGGCATAAATTGTCTCTGTGGCACTTTAGCTTTGTGAGAAATCTTAAAAGAAACCGGTGTGAGTCTGATTCAGATAATAAATGTCTGGCATACCTGGTTATTAAGTCTTCACGATGGAAAATTAATTATTCCAACTACCTTGAGCATTGTCTCCTTGGGTGGGGTAGGAAGGGGGTACAATTGCTTCTTCAGGAGGTCAATAGGTAGCTGGAGCCTTTTCCTGGTGTTTGCCAATGCCTGAAAGACCTGGAAGCTATTTCCTACTCCACATCTCTTCCCAGGAAAAATGAAGTGGCAGAAATGATTTGGATCTTGCGGATGAAAGGAGTCAGCCTGCACTTACTATAAGGGATCATCTCCCATGATCATGAACCAAGCAAACACCAATGAGATTCTCAGACCTTGGACAGGAACTTTTCCAGAGGCAACCAGACGGGCTGATCCATCCTATTGTGTAAACACAGGCTTTGGTGAGAAAAGAGGAGAAGGGGCGAAGCCTGGTCCCATGGCAGTCAATAGAGGTAACTACCTCATGAGCAGAGACGAACGCTTACTATCTGTAAGCATGGCTCAGGACTTCAGTCAGTTCCTCAAGGTTAAAAGAGAGTTCATCCTGGTGCCTTTCCTCAGGATATCGGATGTATTACTTTGGGATATTTTGCCTAAGTAGAAGGTGTTGCCTGAAATCCAGAGGCCCTGTGACTGGGACATCCCTGGAGGATGATCTCTGTTAGGCAGGGAGATTCGCAGGTAACTTCACGCTGAATCTGAAAGACTTTCTTGACACTGCCAGGAGTTTTCCCCCAGGAAGGATGTAGGTTGCCTTTCTGTCTTTGAAATTATTTCCACTGGCAACATTTCAGCCTCTCAGATTTTTGCATAATTGAAGTGACAGCATAGTATGTTGACTTTGACAATAACCAGTGTAAGATTCAATTTACAACTTGCAGGAGGGCTGCAATTACCAATCTGTCTGATAGCTGAAATGTGTCCCCTCACTGCGCCATCTGATGGCCTGCCGAGCTGTGACGTACTCATCCCGATAAGTGCTATTGCTGCCTCCGATCTACAGTTTCTCAAGAGCACACAGGAAGCCTGTGCAAAAGCCAAGAACCAAACGTGGCTTCAAGCCGTATAGACCATCCCTCCTCTCATTAACACACTTATCACTGCTGAGCTTGAGTGTTCCAAAAACATTAGTCCAGGGTCCCCAAAATCACCAAAGTGGCTGAGATGGCATATATTTCAGAAATGTTAAACTGATCTGAGACATAATTATCTCCTTTTTGTTTTCTGGCCACCATAGGGTGCAGGAAGGACACATCTCTATACTTTTGCTGTAGTTGAAAAGGCCAATTCTTTTCTTTTCCTTTCTTCTTCTTAATGAAAACAGAGATGCTCTATCCTTTTTTAGATTTCCACTTTCAACCACAAAGTGTATAAAACAAGACTTGTGACAGAACTGAGAAAGCAGGCAGTGCTAAAACTCTGAGCCAAGCATGAGTGAACAGCCACAGCATTTATGAATGTCTTTTGTTACTGTTTTATCTGGAATTTACTGATTTACTGGAGTGTTTTCTTCAAGAAAAGATTTTCTTGAGGCTACTTTCTAAGACTATTTTTCCGTATGTGTCTTGCTTTCATAAATATTTTCTTAAGCTCTTGACAAATTCTTTGTCAAACGGATGAGGTACAGATTAGATAAATGGACAATGAGGTGGATTAAAAACTGGCTGAACTGCCAGGCTCAAAGGACTGTGATCAGCAGCACAAAGTCCAGCTGGAGGTCAAGCACTGGTTGTGTACCCCAGGGGCTAATACTAGGGCCAGAGCTGTTTAACATCTTTATTAACAACATGGGTGATAGGACAGAGCGCTCTTTCAACGAGTTTGCAGGTGGTACGAAACTGGGAGGAGTGGTTGACACACCAGATGACTGAGCTGGCATTCAGAGGGACCTGGATAGGCTGGAGAACTGGGCCATGATGAGCTTCACGAAGTTCAGCAAGGGAACTGAAAAGCCCTGCACATGAGGAGAAATAACCACATGCACCAGGACAGGCTGGGGGCTGACTGGCTGGAAAGCAGCTCTGCAGAGAAGGACCTGTGCGTTTTGTTGGACCCCGGGTTGAAGATGAGCCAGCAATGTGCCCCTCTGGCAAACAAGGTCAACAGCCTCCTGGGCTGCACTAGGAGGAGCGTTGCCAGCAGGTGGAGAGTGAGACTTCCTCTCTACTCAGAACTGGCAAGGCCACATTTCTGGGTTCCCCACTACAAGAGAGGTAAAGACGTACTGGAGTGAGTCTAATAAAAATCCACAAAGAAGATGGGGGGATCAGAGCATCTGCCATATGGGGAGAGGCTAAAGAAGCTGGGACTCTTCACAGCCTGGAGCAGAGAAGGCTCAGGGAGATCTTATCAAGGTATGTAAATACCTGATTGGGGAGGGGAGAGAGAAATAAAGTCAGAGTCAGACTCTTCTCAGTGGTGCCCAGCGAAAGGTCAGAGGCAAAGGATGCAAACCAAAATACAGGAAATCCTATTTAAACATAAGAAAAAACTTTTTTTTACCATGAGGGTGGTCAAACACTGGCACAGGTTGCCCAGAGAGATTGCAAAATCTCTATTGTTGGAGATGTTCAAAAACCCAACTGGACATGGCTCTGAGCAACCTGCTGTAGCTGCCCCTGCTTTGAGCAGGGGGCTGGACTAGGTGACCTCCAGAGGTGCCTTCACACCTCAGCCACTCTGTGTGATTCTGTAATATCAAGGCTAGTTGGTCACAGACAAATTACATACAATTGTTAATAACTACTGAGTGCGAATTTGACCTTGAAGGTGGGGTGAGGTGAAACCACTAGGACAAAGCACATCCTCTTCCCATGGAGAAAGGGAACTATGACATATTTGTTTTTGCCACAATTCATCTACAGTTCCTACTGATGGGGAGAGATTATTGTTTCCCATAAAATTCCTGTGATTTTCTAGATTTTCCTTGAATTGTACAGACAGTATCATCTATTCCCTATGCTGTGACTCTAACTGAGCTTATGTATTTCTGCAGAAGTGGCAGTTCACTTGAAGCCAGGCTAAGCTATGAAGCAAACGGTGGGACAAATAAAAAATAACAGAACAGTTGAATGTCTGCTGAATACTATGGACTATGATACCCTCATTACATGGGAGCATTTGAAGTGACTAATCAGGTTTTTTTTGCTCCCTCTTATCCCTGAAAAAAAGCATACAAAAGAGCTACTGAAAATCTTCCAGTTTATTCATTGCTACCTGGGAGCTAATACAAAAAATTCTATTTGCATTTTCTTCATGCTCTAATTTTAATGCAATTGCTGGGCATCATTAGCAATTTCATGCCATGCCAGGCCCTTACCTCAGTGCGCGTGTTGCAACTTCATTCTCTGATGACATTATGTCACCCCATGTGGATGCCGAGACAACTGAACTCACAGTCTCTTTGGAAGTCAGCACTAAGTGACCCTGATATCCTTTCCCAGTTTTTAACAACTTCTGATTCAATTGTATTCATGTGTTGATGGGACTATTTGTCACCTCTGTCTTCAACCCAAAAGATGGGCTAAAAATTCAGGACTGAACCAAGAAGTTCAGAACTGCAGCCAGCTGTTTGCTGCTCTGTGAGAGTACAGTCCTGTGACATGTTCTGGAAGTGAACCATCACGTGCTAAAACCATTCATCTCCATCACCAGTAAGAAGAAAATTACAGCACTGAAAACCATAGCATATAAGAAAAACTAGTCTCATAAGAAAAATGAATGTAAACTATAAAGCCCCATCTGTTCTGCAACTGCATTTTATAATGCCAAAGAGAAGAAATCATTTTCTCTAGTGAATTCCTCTCCACCTGCACAGACAGGTTCCCCTTGAATTCAAGTTTACTACAGTTCACCTGAAAGAGGGAGGGGAGACACTCTCATTTCTCCATCATCAGACATGGTCTCTGGGGACATTCTCCCTCACCAGCATAGTATGATGCAAACAATAGTAAGAAGTTACCTCTAGCTGCTGTCTGTCTGAGAGATGATGTGAACTGAACTCTGTCCTCTAAAGTATCCAGTTGCAACACCCATCTGCGTGTGCAATATTACTCTCTGTAGCTTGCTTGTGGAAATAACAAAGGCTCATAGATCTACTGTGCTTAATCGGTGATGTCCTTTACCAGGAATGGACAGAGTCCCATGTGAATGAGCTCTCCACCCTGTCCAGCCATTTAAGTGGAGCAGCAAAGTAGGATTTTCTCCCTGGGTCACCTCTACCTCCTGCACCAACAGCACTGCTTGCATTCTTGGGGCAGAACCATGAGTATCACCTGCACTAGGTGTATTCTCCCTAATTTGCCTGCGTTTATTTTCCATAGCAAAAATAACCCTCAATGTCTTTGGAGAACTGCTCTGCTTTGCAAAGACTCCAGGTGTATCACCCCGTAACTGACTCATTTCTCCCAAAGGGATAAAAGAAGAGCTTCCACAAAATAATTTCATCACCTGGATGAGGAGAAAGGCTCTGAGCTCCTCTGAGCTCCCTCTTCATCCAAAGATGAAAAATGAAAGGAAGATCCAAACCCAAAAGTAAGGGTCAAGGGAGCAGTGTGATTGTTCTGACCTCCCAGCTAAGACCAGCAGGTTTCCTTCCACAAATTTCAGGATAAGCTGGGACTTCATCCCAGGCTTGTGAAACACATATCCCATGGATCTTGACATGCATAAAAACCACCCAGGATCAAGCTGGGTGCACATGATAGTGAGGAATGTCAGTGAAAGTATACAGAAAGTGGTGTTCTCTGAAGCCAGGATTTGGCAAGTAAGTCAAGGAAAAACAGAAAAAATCTAATGGCCAAAGGACCTGGCGTGACTGCACTTACAACAAACTGAGAGAAAATCAGGGAAATGGAGCATATTTTAGCCAAGTGGAGGTGAATAGAAAATCAAGCAAGCAGATAACTGTGAGTCCTTAGAAAGACGGGAAGCCAACATGTGGGCAGAAAAAGCAAGTCATAGAAGCTGCTGCACTTGTTTGGAAAGGTGGCTTATTCCTGGATTTGAAGATGAAAATCTATGGAAATCTGAAATATGTTATTGCAAAAATTATTAGCCTTCCACTGATATCTCACAGTCAGATAGCATCTGTATCAGCTGCTTATAATCCATTTTTCCAGGGAAAAAGATCATATTGCTGAGACAGGGCTAGGTAAACATAATTTTCTAATTCTGATCAGCACACGTTAGCATATGTAGCTATTCTATTTTTCTGATACTTCAAATACTTTCAAATGTTGAAAACAAAACATTAAGCTAAAAGGACAACAGTATCCATGCAAAATCAAGCACTTAAAAATTACAAGATATCTTTTTGCATTGTGCCAAAGTATTTAAATCACATGGTATCACACTATTTTTCCTCGGAGACTCCAGTTTCTTTGAGAGCACAGGGAGGTTGCTGCTCAGTCAACAAAGAGCTATTTAATAATTCTTTATAGAATCATAGAATATCTTCCTTGTTCAATGGCATGCTGGTTTACAGTGCTCCATTATGGTATGACATCCTTAAGAAGGAGGCCCAAAGTCACAGAGTACCTGGGGAATTACCAACAGAAAGTGGAGAAAGACATCATTTTCTTCACCTGCTGATGCTCAAATCTCGTTTACTGGTAATTAACAAAAGAATCTGAAGATACATCTCACCGTTTCTAGGACTTAACCTCACATCTTAAATTAGGATCCCTCTACACATAATAAGAGAAACCCCCTTTCAAAATGAGCACATCATCTAAATAGACAAGAGAGGGAGAATGTGTAGGAAAGGATGTTCTGTTATCCACATGTTATAGATCAGGCAACAGAGGCACACGGTGTTTGGATTACTTGCTTAAACTTATACAACAAATCTGTTGGCAGAGCTAAAAACTGAGCCCGCACATCTTGATCCCTACTCCAGAGATGTACATTTTGGAGATAATGGGAACTTTCTAAATGTGTGTGTTTCATTATGCAAGACTTCTGAAATCCCAGTGTCCTCAGGATGGAGGACAAGGTCATAACAGTAACATTATTTTCTGAGAATGCAGCATCATTTTACTTTGTGCAATCCTTTTGCATAAGCCAGTGAATCATGGTTCTTATCTTGTCATTCAATTTCCATTCTAGATCAAAGGTGATACTAAAAGAAATTAAATCAGCACTTCAAAGGAATGAAGGTGAGGTCTTGCACACATGTGCAGTGTTTCATAGCTGTGAAAAAGAATAGAAATTAATTTGGCCTTCTTCACTATCCTATGATATTTCTTCTTTTCTCTTCAACCCAGTGTTACAGAACAGGTGAACTGAACACTTCTCTCCATTTGGTTTGAAAATTGACAATGGTGACATCCAAAGTAAGCAGAATACAAAGACGTGGTGAGAAATCTACTTTGTAGAATATTGTTCCATCAGAAGATGAAGGTAAAAACAAATGGTAGTGTTTGGGGTGAAAATGCTGCCATCTCTGAATTATCCAGTGGAAGTCAAGTAGTGCTCACCTGGAGAAAATAAGAAGGTATCCTGGCATGTCCTTAGCCTTCCTCAAAGTCTGTCTGATGACTTGCTGCCTCATGGAAAGATGAACCTTTAGAACTGCCTGTCCACTAGTGAGGAATCTAGTCCAAAGTAGTCTTCTGAAGCAAAACCTCTTAGGGTTTCCAGGCCAAAATAATCTGGAACAGAGCTGCTGGTTTACTGGCAGCATGGGGCATCTCATCTTGTTTCTTTGGAAAAGTTGTGCATGTTATAGCTATTGTCTGAGTTTGTAACTTCAGGGAGTCTATCAAGGCAATTTGAGAGTCCTTGACGTGATGTACAGCCATTTCCTCTGACAACTTTGGCAACTGCACCGAAACCACCACATTTTGAAGTACCATAGCTAAATAATTGACTCTTGGTCTGTGCAGACAGCAACAGTAAATGACTTTTCACTTTGATGGATCCTCTGGCTGTAGTAAAAACAATAAAATGTGGGAAGGCAGAGGAGTGAGGTAACATGTTATATGAAACGTTGGGCAGTGGAGAGGCTGTGATGTTGGTGAACTTCAGCACAATTTCCCAAAAAGGAAGGAAAATGCACAGCAAAAGGAGGAAGAACAGTATGGTAAAGGGATATGCAAAATTGTGGTTATTACTAACCTGCCAGGTTCATGAGGCACAGGTAGGAATGGCAGGAGAAAATTCTCCAGAGAAAAACCTCTGTGGAAGTGGGGCACCAGGTAAGAGCTGGCCAAATACCACACATTTGCTGAACACCTTGTGTGTAAGCTGTCACTTACCATATACTACAGCCCCCAAAAGATTTCTGTTATACATCTTTCAGTGGGGGGCAAGAGTCAGAAACCTCCATAACGATGTGGCTGCTCAGGGCGTGTATACCGTACACCTCACTGAACTTCTGTGGTGTGGCAGGGCTCTTTAGAGCAAAGAGTTAAGGGTGACTGATGTGTGAAGATTTCTATCTATGTATTTGTTATAGACATGGGATATAAAGAAGTGACTGATGTGTGAAGATTTCAGCCCTATATTCTATGTATTTGTTATAGACATGGGATATAAAGACCTGGGTATTAAAACTGGCGTTAGGATATTTTCACACCTCTGAAATAGCCAGCTTGTCTCTGCTGACTGATAAAAGTCTTAAAGGTTTACTCAATACCCTACCTGGCATTGACCTGTTACTGAATTCTTAAAAAAAAACCCAAACAACAAAAAAACTCTGAAATTGTAAATAGATATTCTGTGGCAGAGATTGGCTTTGACTGTCATTTCTTAGCTGGTACAATTTCTGTGTTTTGTATTTGTTCAGTGGCTAGCACAAGCAGGGGCTGATTCAGTAATTTTAGAACTGTATAATGTCAGTAAGAAAATCTGGTACTTACAAAAATCTGCCTGATGAGCATTTTTCAACTTTATGATTCTTACAGTGAGCAGGGAGTAAGGTGACATTTCTTCCTGCTG